GCTTGAACTGATGGATGGGTTCCTAGACAAGGGCCATAATTTATACACAGATAATTACTAAAACTCAGTGGGACTCACGAAGGTCCTTACTCAACGTTCAACATACATGTGGAACACTAAGAACAGACAGAAAGGACAACCCAAAAGACGTCATAAAAAAAAATTTTAAGAAAGGAGAGTGTGTATGGATACGATCTGACTCAGTGGTGGTATGTAAATGGAAGGATAAGCGAAATGTGCATACTATAAGTATGGTTCAAGTGGAAAATCGAAATCATAAGTTTCGGAAAAGCCAAATATAGTTAGAGACATTACAATATGGGCATGTCTGGGATCGACAGATCAGACCAGATGTTGTCATATTATTCATCTCTACGCAAGACCATTCAATGGTACAAGAAGATCGGGCTTCATATCCTTGAAATGTGCATTATAAATGCGCATATTCTGTACACCGACACCAGTCAAAACCTGAAGTCACTTTTGCAGTTCTGTGATAATATAACAGCGAATTTGTTAGGAGATGTTCGGGAGCCACTCCTTCCTGTTCCAGCTGATGCTAATGCTCTCCACTTCCTTGAATATTTGGAACCTACGGAGTCCAAGGAAAAGCCAACTAAAAGATGTGTTGTTTGCAAAAAGGCTAGCATTAGATGAGAAACCCGCTACTCTTGTAGTGTATGTCCCAGAAAACCTGCTCTTTGTGTAGTTGGGTGCTTCAAAGAATATCATTCATAAACAATGGATTAATCAAAACTTTAAATTCAATAAAGCAATATAAAAATTGAAAATTTTCAATTATGAAAAATTGAACAGTGAATTAGTAGTTCTATTCCTGTAATGCCTTTCTAGTAGGCCTACCAATAGTTACGATGTGAAATTCAAAACTTGAATTAAAATGTTATGTTATTTTCTATTTTACAGAAATAAATTTGTGTAATGTTTAGAAAATTAATAGTTACTAAAGGTGATTATATGTTCAATTTAAAATTTATTGGCATCATAAAAAGCAAAACACTAATCATACTATAGCAAATTAACAAGAGTTTATAAATGATTTCTAATGGAGAAAGGAGGGTGGTGAACTAAACATAAATGAAAATGTGACGTTATTTGAAATGAAAATTGGATGGTATTTGATGTTATTGATTTTACCGAACTAAAGTTAAGTTATTGTTGAGAAAATAAAACAATTGGAAATGTTTTAGTTTATATGAATACATTTATTTTGAAATCGTGCTATCACATATAAACATAAAAAGCACACATTCTCAACACCATCATCATGTGGAATATAATGTATACACCTGTAGTTATAAATTTTAAAAACAGTAAATGTTTCTAGAATAGTCTAAAACACATAATCATGACAGCTATTGCATTATTTCCCTTGTTATAGTGCATCGGAAATGCGATTATTATGGATAAAGGGCGCCACCACATTTTGTCATCTTTTACACTGCCTGCAATAAAACACAACAAACATACGGAAGTTATTTCAACATTAAAACGTCTAGGTGTATCTTCCCTGAACTACCCCCGAAGAAGCTTAAGTTTACGATGTACGCATGTGGGGTTGAGAAACGTTATAAAGGTATACTGTTTTTGACGAGTATACTCGTCACTGGGGCGCATTCTGCAACACCCGGTTGGCGAGTATACTCGTCACTGGCAATCAACGTGTTAAAAAGTCATTATTCAACAACACACGATTGAGTCGATGGTAAAGCAACGCACCTGGGAAATCCCTGAATTGGTTGAATGAATTTTTGTTAACAGTTTACGACAGGGTTATAATTTTACCATCCTTATTAAATATACTAAATTTGCTACAGTAGTATGTGTTTCAATCCTTAATAGATCATTGAATCATTTTGAAGAGCTAGAAATAAGCCTATTTGTTTTCTTTTCACTGTACTCGCGTCATGACCACAACGTACAAACGAGGGTGTTTACAGTATTCCACATGCTCTCTGAATTCATACTTTGTAGACACATGCACAGCATGGTATTTCATTCAAATTAACTGCCAATGTTGTTTTTGTTAGTGTTTGAATAAAACATTAAAAATATTTGTCTTGTCTTACTTTATTCGTAATGACAAATGTCTTACAGAAAATACACGCATACAGGGATGTCACCACGCTGGTCGGCGGTGGACGGGCCCGTCCAGCACTCAACATTTCCG